GTGTAGTTACTGGGATTGTGCCAGGCTAAGGTTGAGAAGTCCGGGCGCAGATCTGTTCCTCTTTTTCAAAAACACGAGCATCGTCGATCGAGAGCCATATTCAGCAGCTAAACACTCCTCAAAGAAACGGTGTTTGATCACCATAGCTCCCGAGATCTGGTTTCTGATGAGTTTATACGTATCATAACCAACGTGTGATGTTCGATAGTGCTTCCAATCACGATTTCGCCTGCAAAGTATGCATCTGAGATCGTGAGCAAACCAGAGTGGCCCCTTGGTACGAGGCTGGCGCTTACGCATAAGGGCGAACCTTTGCACCAATTGCAGGATGATACATTACAACTCTTCTACATCGTCCTAGTCTACCGGTTCCCAACCTAGTAAGTAATTGTACTGCTATTCACATTTCGTAGAACTTGGGCTCCACGTCTGCAGTGAATACTGCTCACCACATGATCATTGATACCGGAAGGTGGAGAAAAACAATGCGAGAAAAATCCGATGCACGAGGGGTTAACACTACATCGAGGGTAGGTGATCGATCACCTACACTTTTTGTAGGTTCCTGAACATGCTGATGAATGGCAAGATCACAAACTATCTACTGAAGGTCCCATGAAAAACAATCAGCATTGGTAGTGGAACAAATTGAGACTCAGTCGACGTGTGATTTGTGGAAGTCACCAAACGCTTTACAGTGACTATCTGCAACCGTTTCATGGATTCCAGTAGTAGGAGTTAGTCCGATGCGGGAGTCCTGTACAAGACTCCTAACACAGTATATGCATTCCGTTTGAGCAAAAACTGCTGGTCTTCGGGCGACTGCTTGTCTCTCTTGTTAAACAGATCGCGGACATTTCAGAGAAAAACATCCGCACAGTCGCACCTCGGATTGAACCCCCGCTGGGTTCTACGACCCGACCGTGGTGAGGATCATTAATACCCTGGGGGTTTGAAACGGTAGCTGTTTTGGTTGCAGCCTCCTCCAACTAATGAGCTCCAATACGAGCGAAACTCGAGTCCAGTGCTTCCGAGTATATGGTTGAATCGACAAACTGAGGTGCCTGAAGTTGGAGTCCGAAGGATAGTCAGTCAAATCAATCCATATTACATTTTGTCATGCACTGTCGGGGTTAAAAAATTACCAGTCCAGTAAAGAACTGAGCAATTGTTTATTGCAAGAGCAAGGTTACCCCGAAAGGGACACGACTGTTTATCCACTCAGAGGCGCTACTCCCATTAGTTATCCCATGCACCGCATTTTGTTGTGTTGTGAATTACTGCTCACATTTGTGTGTAGTGTCTTTGGCGCATACACAAGAAGGCGATTGGTGAATTTTCACGACATCTTGTTGCAACTACAGAAAAAAAGAAGACTGTCGAGCTACTTGACTACGGAGTGAGAGTCTTCAGGAAACTATTGATCCACTTTGGCAGAATAATGTTCTGATCTATGTTACCCTATTTACTCCTCACTCATGGTGAGTCCGGCACTGTCTTATGGAATTATAGCAGTTGTCCTATGGGGTAGCCATATCATTGGTCTGTTCTGCCTTCTTATAAATTAATTGTACATTTATCTGTTCAATAACAGGAAGTGAAAATTATTCCATTTATTATTGATTCACGATTCAACGCCTGAAGATTGCAGTTCCTTATTGGCCTTTATCCAGTCAATCAAACCGTGGACCTGTAAGGCGCGATCCAGCTTCCTAATATACATTGTCATCTAGTCATCTTGGTGACTTTCTCAACCAGGTTGTCCTGCGGGACTCTTCATGGGAAGCATGAAATAATGGGTTTCCATCTTCCACAAATAAGTTCATTTCCCAAGGTCCATCAACAACTGATGTGTAATCTTGGATGATAGTTTTCGACCACACAGTTTATTGAAAATACCCTCTACGCTAGAAGGCATTGATAAGGACTTCTCAGCAGAGGCTTGAAGTCAAGCAATTTTTCTTTTCTTCGACTGAATACCACATCCACCCCACCAGGGCTTTGTGTACTTCGTCACTTCGAAAATCAAGGCGTCGGTTAATGGTATATATATATATATGCATATTTCATGTGGGTAATGGAGGATTTGGTTAAATTTCAAATGACAATTCGTCGTGTATATATCAAATGAAGCGTGAACTGAAAAGCTCGGAAGCACTGGACAGCTGTTTCGACCTGGTTGGGTCTCATCAGCAATGCAAATCCATCGACCCGACTGGGGATGGAACCCGGGACTTCATGGGCAGAACGCAAGCGTGCTACCCACTACGCCACCGGGCAGCTGATCAGACCGTTTTTCATTTTCCATTTACACGATATAGCACAACCCAGTTCACGCTTCATTTGCTATATACGCGACGAATTGTCATTTGAAATTTAACCAAATCCTCCATTACCCACATGAAATAATCAGTC